CGGCGGCGCGGAGGGGGGGGGGGGGGGGGGGGAGAGACGCGCCTCCAGGTGCCGCAGGCTGGGCCCACGCAGCCCCCATCCTTCCCACCCTATGTGATGCCACCTTGTCCTGGGCCCTGAAAGTAAGCGTCAGCTAATGTGGTAGGGAAGTTTCTAGAAGACAAAGCAAAGGGCGTTCATCATTGGAGTCTGTCCTGAGCCCGCTGTGTAGAAACCGTGGGAACCTCAGGGCAGAGTCACCAAAGCTGTTTTTCCCTTCGTGACAGAGAGGAGACAGACATAGAGGTATTTTGGGCAGGGTCTGTTCTTGTCGTGCCCGTCCTCCCCCAGCCTGCAGTTGGCTCAGAGGACAGGCGCACAGCTGGCCGGTGTGTTCAGGCTGGCCGGAGCCCAGTCCCGGCCTCCCAGGCGGCCCGGCCTCCCAGGGGGTGGCGCTGTCTGCACCGCCGCAGCCAGGCCACTGAGACTTTGGCAAAACACCTGCCTACCGCTGTCCGAAAGGACTCCAGAATCGAGTCCCCGGGACACAGAGGAGTCAAGTTGATACTTGCAGGCGAATTTCTTCTGTGTCGCATTGTCATCAGTGACTCTTGTTTATTTCATAAAGAAATATCTTTTTCCTTTTTGTAAAGGTTTTTGCCGTAAGGCACGTGCACTGAGAGACAGTGAAAGGGAAAGTGAGAAATTACCCCTCAGGAGGGATGCCATGCCACTATCCCCTCTCCTCTGTGTTTTTTCCCTGGAGTTTTGGGCACGCATGCACACGTGCCTGGAATGAGTTCGAAGTCACTGGACCCAGGATTCAAACCGCGGTCAGCCACGTGAGGGTCAAGGGCCTTACCTACCACGCCACCTGCTGGCCCCAAGAAACATCTCCAGCACTCACCCCTCCTCATAAATTTTATTTGCTTTCTGTGTCACAATAGTCAAGGGGGGACCGGAGAACTTGGTACTTTACTTTCGATTTCCTGTCCCATGCTTTGTTCACATTTCACGTTGTCCAGAGTTAAACTGCCTTCAGCTCTTTCAGGATCCCCCACCCCGACGTGGCGGTGGGAACGCGCCCTCGCGCCCTCTGCCCGACCTGCCGAAGCCGTGTAACTGCGCCCCTTCCTTCCTGCCCTGCAGCTGTGGGTGGACATCGTGAACGGGGACGTGCAGGACGCCACGCGCTCCGACCTGTACGAGTACGTCGTCGACTTCCTCACCTACTGCTCGGACCCGGCGCTGGTGTGGACCCATGCTGACTGGGCCTTGCAGAAAAGTGAGGAGGTTTGTGCTTCAGAACCGCATTCTGGGGGGAGCTGTACAAACAGAAACGCCTCGATTTTTAGAGGAGAGACAGTCTGTGTGTCAGCCCTGTCCTGCCGTATTTGTCCTTCCCCCAGAGGCTGCTTATCTGTCCCTCCTGAGAGAGGCGGGGCGAGGTAGAGCACAGGCACCCCCACAGGGCCGCCATGCTGCATCCGCTTTCGATCCGGACCACAAGCGCTGTGCTCCTGGCGTGTGGAGGAAGGCTGTGGGGTGCGAACCCAGGACGTTCCCACATGGGTCCACTTACACTACCGCCGCACCACCATCTGGTCCCTGAACCACCATCCCCCTTTTTTATTTGTTCTGCCATTTTTTTTTTTTTTTAATTGCCGGAGAGAGAGAAAAAAAGCATCCCTCAAGGAACTTGATCACACCACAATCCCGTTCCCTCCGTTGTGGGGACACACGTGCACACACATGTGCCCAGTATCTTTTTCAAGACATAGGGGCCAGGATTCAAACTGCTGTCAGCTATGTGGACCCAGCCCCCTTAACCACGGGGCGACAGGGCTGCCCACGTGCTCCTTGCTCTGAACACCGGGATTTCCAGCTCTGCGGGTGTGCGCGAGGCCTGCGGGGCGGAGTGTTCTAGATGGCAGCCTCGTCTGTAGACAAGCAGGGCGGTCGCCGTTCTCGGGAACTTCTTAAACCCGTGTTTATGACACTCCTCCCCTACACACACACACACACACACACGGAGCTGACCTTTGTTCTCTGGAGCACAGTCAGGCCATGATCCTAAAGGACTCATTCCTGGGACTGCCAGGCTTGGAGGCCGAGTGCGATGGTGGTAAAATGGACTGGTGGCTGTGGCTGCAGGACAGAGGGACAGAATCCCTAGTATGGCCCCACAGGAAGGAGCATTACGACTGACCACAGCACTTCTCACAGTTAGCATTTCTTGGGGCTAGCAGGCGGCACGGTGGCTAATGGCACTGGACTCCCACACGACCAACCATGGTTCAAGTCCCGGACTTGGCGGCTTGCTTTCTCACTTTCTCTCCCTTGCTCTCTCTCTCTCTGTCTCTCTGTGGTGAGTGCATGTGTCCTATAGCAAACTAGAAACATTTGTATTTCCTTGGCTCCCCTTGGACAGACAAAATTAGCTTTTTGGCACATTGAGTAGTAAACCGAACTGCTGAGCTGGAAGCCATGTGGTCGGCCACGGTTTGGATCCCCAGGATAACTTCGAACGTGCTGGGTGTGCAGGTGCCCCAGGTACAGAGGAGCTGGAGGGCTGAACAAAGAGGATTGTGGTGTGATGAGGCCCTAAGGAGAGTGCATTTTTTTTTTTCTTCTTTTTGGAGAGGTTTTCGCTACAGGGCGCGTGTGTTCTCCTGAAAGACAGAGACAGACAGAGAGACAGAAAGCGAGAAATCACCCCCCAGGGGGGATGGCCACGCCACAATCCCTTCTCCTCCATTCTCCTCTTGGGATCTTGGGCACACACGCACACGTGCCTGGCATGAGTTTAAGCCACCAGGTCCAGGACTTGAACTGTGGTCAACTACATGAGAGTCCAACAATGTAGCCATTACGCTAACTGCTGGTCCCGAGGATGCTTTTTTTCTCCCTTCCTTTCTTCCTTTCCACTCTCTTTCTCTCGTGCATATGTACACACAGTCTCTATCTTGAATAAAATAAACTTAAAACTTAAATCGGCACTCTGATGTGGGGCCTCTGTTTTAAGGAGAGTTTCCTAACACCTGACTCAGAGCAGGCCTCGGAGCCTCTCCAGCCGTCCCGCCATGCCTGGCCGCTCCGCTCCTGCTTTGCCTCTGTGCACGCCAGCTGATAGGGTTGGTGGAGCTGAGACACTAATTCAGGGACACAGAACCCGAAATGTAATACTCGTAGTAGCCATGCTGTGTTTCTCGTGGTTTGAGTGTGTGAGGGGTGTGAGTGTGTGTGTGTGTGAGTGTGTGCGGTATAGTAGAACATGCACATGTAAGTGTGCAGGGGAGCTACAGCGTAGATTTCCCTCCTGGCTTGCTAGCATCTCCTGGGGGACAGAGTTGGACCGGCACACCCCATCTGACAGGCGCAGGGCCCAGGCCAAGCCCTCACACGCGCCGTCTGGCAGAGTAATCCACAGCGGGGGACCCGTGCTCGGAGAACTGGGTTTACAGTACCAGATTTTCTACACTTTAATACTTTCTTGTACCAGGCAAGGAGCCATCCCGTGTCTGGATAACCGTCATCTCACAGGGTCGCCCCCACGGGTTGTCAAGACTCACCCATTAAAGGCTTGCTTTTCAGTTTCCAGTCCCCCCCCCCCTTTTTTTTAAGATTTTTTTTTTTACTGTAGGGGGTATGCTCTTGCTAGAGACAGAGACAGAAAGAGGGAAAGTGGGAAATCACCCCGGGGGGGGTGGCTGCACCACAGTCTTTTCTCTTCCTTTCTCCTCCTGGGATTTTGGGCACACACACACACACACACACACACACACACACACACACACATGTGCCCAGTGTGATATTCACGTTGCCAGATCCAGGACTCGAACCACCTGTGGGAGTCCAGTGCCTTAATCACCATGCCAAATGCTGGTCCTGCTCCCAGCCCTTTAAGAGTAATTCCAGTGGGGTGTCTGCAGAGGGCTCAGTGTTTAGGCCTTTCCCGTCTCTGTTTATGTTGTCTGGTCTTTGACAGCACTTCAAGCTGGACTGTTTGTCTCCGTAACTGTGTATGTATATGTATTTTTCTTGCATAAGCAAGAGAGAGACATGCCTCCTTGAGGTCTTGACGCTGTGACCCGCCCAGCCTCAGCCAGCCCCAGATCATGGGCACACACATTCCTGGTGTGCTCAAGGAGGTCTCTGGGATTGAACCAGGAACCTTCCGATGTGGGTCAACCTTGAGGAGCATCGTGTTTTACCACTGTGCCGCTGTCCAGCCCGTGTAACCACACTTCCAACCACTTTATTGACATAGTATCAACACGCAGAAAGCTATACATGTTCCGTGTTTTATTTCATTGTATTTCTAACAGTTTTATACAGAGTGTGGAGGGGCTGAAACAGAAATGAAGAAACGCTGACTTGGGCAAATGCCTGAATGGCTATTCTCGTTTCAGGTTGGAGTTCAAGTTTTCACCAAGAGACCTTTGGATGAACAGCAGAAGAATCGTTTTAATCCAGACGATATCATAAATTGCCTTAAAAAATACCCTAAAGCCCTTGTAAAATACCTGGAACATCTAGTTGTAGACAGGAAACTTCAGGTGAGCACTTCAGAACTTAGACGCGTGTGTGGGCTGTGGCGTCACGGGGAAACCGCGGAGCGGGACGCGACTATGAAACTTCCGGGCGAGCAGTTCCCATGCCGTGCATCTGTCCCCCGGGTGCTGGGTTTACACTTGTCGATGGTCTGAAGGGGAAACTTGAGGCGTAGGGACAGAAACTTGGAAGGACGGGTGGTTTTCTTAACCTGTCTCCTGCCCACTCGGCTTGTGTTTCTCGTCTCTCTTCCTTCATTACGATCATTCAAGGAAAGAAAAAAGCCATGTTTGTAGATTACCCTAAATCCTGTGGCCCTTCCTTCTCAAAATGAGAACTAAGTTCTTTATATATTTCCTATAGATGTGGTTTTAGTTTTCCTTCCATGTGCTCAGGAGACACAGAGAGTGATAGCAGCCTCCATGGGGTCCATCCCCAGCTTCAGCCGTCCTGTATCATACTCAGAAGCATCTCCTGACACCAGCCTTCCCACGGGGTCAGCCTTACAGAGTGTCACGTTACTCCTCAGCCCCCGTCTGCCCCAGCCTCCCCTCTAGATCTTTCTAAAGAGATTTTGCCTTCGGGTATGTGTGCTTGCCAGAGAGACAGAGACAGTGAGAGGGAAAGTGAGAAGTCTGCCCCTGGGGGGATGGCCATGCACACACATGCCTGGTGTGGTTTTCAAGCCACCGGGTCCAGGGCTCGAACTGCAGTCGGCCGTGTGGGAGTGCAGTGATGTAACTGCTACAGCATCTGCTGTGGATTTGAAGCTCGTCTTCTCTGTGCTGGTTCTGAGTTCCCGGTCCAACCACACGTTGTGTTACATGCCCTGGAGGGTCTGCCCCAGCTCACTGCCTCCCCTCGAGGACACGGGCTGGCTAGGGGATCTCCAGGCTTTCGCTGGAGGCCTTTAAACGCGTCTGTCCGCCTGGACCCTGTTTCCTACAGAAGGAGGAGTACCACACGCACCTGGCTGTCCTCTACCTGGAAGAGGTGCTGCAGCAGAGGCCCCCAGCCAGCACCAAGGCTGCCGGCCTCTCCGTCTCCGAGACGCAGGCCAAGCTACGGCGGCTGCTCCAGAAATCCGACCTGTACCGCGTCCACTTCCTGTTAGGTGAGGACCACCTCGCCATTCTCTCCATTTAGGAACTTCTCCCACAGGGGTATGGAGGCAGCTGGAAGGCTTTGGCAGGGCTTCTGGGTTTGAGTCTGTCACCAGCAGCCTTCCTGGAGGGCAGAGTGAGGGTCCTTCTGTGCCTGTCCTGTAGAGATGGAAGAGGCCCTTTGACCGAGGACATTTAACGCTGCCCTGGGCCGCCCTGGACATCTGCAAGTCCACCAACCATACCTTCATTCGGACTTCCTGTTCCACTTCAAAGCACCCAATCATAGCTCCTCCTCAAAAATGACAGTCTTTGGTGGCGAGTTTGCCAGCTGGCCCTGTCCCAAGAGACCCACTGATGACTCAGAGCCCCTCGATCCCCGAGCCTGAGGAAGGCAGTACAGCGACCTTGGAGGAGATTCGGGTTTTCACTTTTTTTTTTTTGACAGGTTTTTTGCTATAGGGCGCATGCGCTTGCCGGAAGGGCAGAGAGAGACAGAGAGACAGAAAGCGAGAAATCGCCCCCCAGGAAGGATGGCCATGCCGCAATCCCTTCTCTATTCTCCTC